CGTGACATGCTTGTTTGTTGCCGCTCACAGTCTACCCCTGTGCATTCCCTCTTCGGTTTCCCTCCGTCGGCTTCAGACAAACTCCTTAGCCTTCCTGTGCCACGTCGAAATACTTCACATATCGAGCGAACCGTTTTCTCTCCTGGTCCTTATCCAGACACGTGTCCTCCCACTTGTACACGTGGCGGTGCGCCTTCCTCTCCAGCCGGTCCTCGTCGAGATACCGCTGCATCCGGGCCTCCGCCACAGGCGAAAGCTCGTCGCCGAATTGCGCATAGATTCGCTTGATTTCGCTAATCGGGTTTCGCACAAACTCGTGGAATCGAACATCAACGGCCAGTGACGAGTCCCACTGTTGCAACGCATCCGCGCCGTCGGATCGCGCTGCTTCCCGCGTAGCGCAATCGCTGCTCCTGCTGCTCCTCCCGCTGCTGCTGCTCAAGCTCCGCGCCCCTCCCCTGCTGCTGGCGCTGCTGCTACTGTCATCCCCGCTCTCGTCCGCGCTCTCCTCGTCCCCTCCAAAGGCCTCCTCCTCGTCCCCGCTACTGTCCGCTCCAAGCGTCGCCGTTTCGCGCAGGTCAATCATATCATCCAGCGCGCGCGCAAGATGCGGCGCCCACAGCGGCGCGATCATGCTGTTATCCACCGGATCCGACGTCAGCGAGCGGAAGCACCGCATCAGACTATGCGCGGACGAAATCACCTTCACCGGGTCGCGGTGCGTGCAAATAATCCGCGCGTCGGGAAACACCTTAAGCATAGACCGCAAGGAGAAAATATGCTCAGGCGATTTCAGCAGCCACTGCGGCGCCTTGGGGCCCCGCCACTGGAGGTACTTCAGCTGCCATTTGAGAAACTCGTACGTGGGGGTGATATCGGAGCGCATAAACCACTCCAGGTACGTCGGCGCGTTGATGTGCGTGAACGGAATAACAAACGACGTCATGTCGTAGCACATGAGCTCGAACGTCTCCTGCGGGCCTTCCGGGTACATGGGGTGGATGGTGTGCAGATCCGGGATCACCGCGTGCACTGCACGCAGCGAGTCGTCCATCAGCGCAACGCGCGGGTCCGTGCGGAAGGTTTCCGCCTGCGGCGGCGGGTACATGTAGCGGCACTCCCACGAACGCGGCGAGCGGAACCGCTCGTAGTCGAGCGACAGCAGGTTGTACAGCAGCGTCGTGCCGGTGCGCGGCATTCCCAGGATAACCATCGGCGCGCGAATCTGCTGCTCCTCGATTTCCGGGAACCGCTTGCGGCAGTCGATGAGGCGCAGCCGGCCTTGCAGCATGCGCTGCACGTCGAGCCAGATGGCGATGCGGCCGAACGGCGTGAGACTCGCGTACTTCTCCGTGTCGCGCACGCAGAGCGCGAGACCCTTGAGGAACCCCGTGTCGCCGAAGTCGTTCAGTCCGGTGCACCACGACGCGACCCGGAGCATCGATTCCACGTCGGTTGGGAGGAACCAGTGCGACGGGCGGAACCATGGCGCGTATGTCCCAGACAGCTTAGCGGTCCAGTTGACAGCCTTGACAGCGGCCGGCAGCACGACGTCAAGAACGGCCTGCACGCGCGCGCGAGTGGATGTGGGCTTGGATGGCGCGAAGATGGCGTACGGCGACTCGCCCTCTCGCAGCGCGAAGGAACAGGCTGTCTTGAGGGACGTGAGAGTCGCATCGGAGGTGCCGTCCTGCGTCGCAGCGGGCTTGAAGTCGACCGGGCCAAGACCTGCCCATCGCGATGCGACGACGAAAATAACACACAGGGTGGACGCGAGAGTTGCGAGCGCGATGCAGGCTAAAGTAGCGAGGATTGCGGTGAGATTAGAACGAAACGGCGAGCTATTAGGCGTGATCTGCGCGTCAGCAATAGCGTCTGCACTAGCACGATCCTGGTTGGTGTCGCCTGCGAGGGCTACAGAGAGCGTCCACGCAACGCATGCTACTAGGACCAGAACTCGCATTAGAGACTCTTGGCGCAGGGCAAGAGAGAACCGCCATTGACTCCTCATCAGATAGTTCGAGCGCGAATATGGCGGGATTTTTCGATATGGACTACTCGCGGCAGTAGTGCTAGGCGAGTGGAAGCTAAAGCTTTTACAACAGCCACTGCTTGTGGTCGAGTCAATGAAAGGATCCAATAATGTGAAACTTTAGGAGCTAATCGGAAGTTTGACAATCCCTCACCGGAAAGAGCATCTAGAAGCTCAATGAAAGTGCTCTGGGGCACCAAGAAGCTAGACGTGGCGGTGATGCTCGGTGCGAGTCGCCAGCAACAAATGTTTCTGCCTTGATGGATGGGATGGGAGGGATGGAGGTGAAGGGTCATGGCACGGGATGAGATGAGTGGAGAGGTGGAGAGGCGGGGAGGGGATGGATGACAAGGCAAGCAACAGAGGAAATGACGAACCGCGTTTCCAATTCCAACGGGCTGCGGCTCTGACAGCGCATCGCTCCGTGCTCCCGCCCAATTTCCCACGGGCAGTTGATATGTACAACTCGTTTGAAGTTATTTTCCCGCTATTCTCTCACATTCGGTTTCTGCCCAATCCGACAAATGGCGCTCCCACGTTTGCCCGCCGTCGAAGTTTCCCACCAGGGTTGCAATTTGGGCAGGGTGGAATCAAGAAGGGGTGCTGCCTCGCTTCGGACACCGCGGATTTTATGCCTGACGACCAAACATGCGATCACAAAATCTAACACCGACCAATGAGACTGTTAGGGCGTGTAACATTTTTTATCCGACCAGGCCTAAGTGCCGACCAAATGGCTGGGTCTGGCAAATGGGAAGGTGTATAATATGTTTCGGCTTTTGCCTAATGCATGCAGATTTTGAAAGTGCTAATTTGCAAATGCATGCAAACGGAAAAATGTCGGCCTGTCGGCAAAACCATGCGGTTACCTGTGTTAGGTTGAGGCTCCCCCAGTCGCATGCCATCCAGATGGGTTTATATTTTTCTGACCGCGGGCAGATAACAATCCGTCAGCCTCTTTCCCCTACGGCCGTCTATTGTATGCATATGCATAGTCGCACTGGCATAAGTTGAATGCCGTTGAAAATGGCCCATAAAGTTTAGGCGCACATTTCGAACACAATGAGCATATTGTACGTGGGGCACCCACCCTAAGGGCGTATAACATTGTAAAGGCCAATCCAAATTGTGGAACATTTGCGTGTTTCATGAGAGCGTGAAATGTGTAACGTGTAAGCGAACCCCGCCAAAAAATTCATCAGCATCTTGTCAAATTATGCACTTAAAGTGCTGTAGTCTATACCGGGGCACACTGTAGAGGGGACACCCATGTTAGCGTTCATTACTTGTATCCCCATCCTGCATAGTTCATTCATTCATGTTTCCATATTCTAACATGGTATTAGAGTAGGTTCGCTCATTAGGGCCCACCGAACATTTTGCCCTGCCCGGACTTGTAAACTTATTTTTTCTGCCCTGTTACCTAGCGCCAATGCGCGCCTTACTGCCCTGCCCGCACGCGCCCCTGCTGCCATATCCGCGCGTGCGCCCTGCTGCCCTGCTTGAGCGCCGCCCTGCCCACGCGCGCTTTGCCTGCAGGTGTGTCGCCCTGCCTGCCCTCGCACTCTCCACGCGCACCCTGCTGCCCACCCGCGCGCTGCCCGCATGGGTTTTTCCGGCCCTGCCCGTGCGCTTTGCCCACCAACGCACTGCCTTGCCCCGCACTCGCACTGCCCCGCTAGCGCGCCCTACACCTACCCGTACGCGCACCATCTACTGCCCTGCCAGCGCGCCACGCGCCCTGCCCTGCCATCGCGCCACGCGCCCTGCCCTGCCTACGCCACGCTGTCAGGCATATATGCGATAGTCTGTGTAGGCTGTAGTGGGGCAGTTCATATGGGGTACAACACTTTAGGGTTTGCTACTTGTACTCCCCTTTCTGCTCAATGCATTCATTCTCGTTTCTCGTCATGGTATCGAGCAGGTTCCCTAGTGGGAACGCTACCTAGGGCCCACCACGATACTTTTTTTTTCCTGCCCGGAGCGCGCTTCACTCCTGCCCGAGTCGCGCTCTGTGTGCCCTCCCTACCTTCGAGCCGCCCTTAGTGGCCCCTCTCACGGCCCCTTTGGCCGCCCTTACGGCCCCTCGCGCCGCCCTTACGGCCCCTCGCGCCGCCCTCTACGGCCCCTCGCGCCGCCCTTACAGCCCCTTACGGCCCCTTAAGGCCCCTCGCGTCGCCCTTACGGCCCTCGCGCCGCCCTCTACGGCCCCTCGCGGCGCCCGTTCCGGCCCCTTACGGCCCTGTCTAGGCCCCTTGCGACCCCGCTACGGCCCCGTCTAGGCCCCTTACGGCCCCTCCGCGGCCCCGTCTAGGCCCCTTGCGGCCCCACTACGGCCCCGTCTAGGCCCCTTACGGCCCCTCCGCGGCCCCGTCTAGGCCCCTTGCGGCCCCGCTACGGCCCCGTCTAGGCCCCTTACGGCCCCTCCGCGGGCCCGTCTAGGCCCCTTGCGGCCCCGCTACGGCCCCGTCTAGGCCCCTTACGGCCCCTCCGCAGCCCCGTCTAGGCCCCTTGCGGCCCGCTACGGCCCCGTCTAGGCCCCTTACGGCCCCTCCGCAGCCACGTCTAGGCCCCTTGCGGCCCCGTCGCCACCACGTGCGGCCCCGTCGCCGCCACCAGCGGCCTCGTCGCCGTCACCTGCGGCCCCGTCGCCCTCCCCTAGCGGCCCTGTCACCGCTCAGCCGCCCAGCAACCGAGCCGCCCAGCAGCCCAGCAGCCGAGCCACCCTGCCGCCGAGCCGCCCAGCAGCCTAACCGCCCTGCCGCCAAGCCGCCCAGCAGCCGAGCCACCCAGCAGCCGAGCCGCCCTGCCGCCGAGCCGCCCAGCAGCCGAGCCGCCCAGCAGCCGAGCCGCCCTGCCGCCGAGCCGCCGAGCCGCCCTACTGTCGAGCCGCTGCTGTTCCTACCGGTGCTCTCCGGCCCTCCTTCCTCGGACTGGTGAGCTCACTTCCTGCTAGGCCACTGCAGTCATGGCTACCCCCAGTGTCCTTACTTTTGATGCTGAGGGCCGTGCCATTGACTTTGAGGTCTGGGTCGATGACCTCCAGCTGTTTCTCTAGTGCGATAGGGCATACGGACTCTCTCTGTTCGCTCTCACCTCTGGTGTCTCTCGTGCCCCGCCTGCCACTGCTGGCAGCACTGTTTGCTCACAGTGGGCCACACGCAATGCTGCTGCTTGCCTTGCTGTGCGTCGCCACTTACCGACCACTGAGCGTGCACACTTTAGCCAGTACAAGAGTGCTCAGACCTTGTACGACGCTGTAGTTGCACGCTACTCTTCCCTTGCCACTGCTGCACTGAGCCGCCTCATGCTACCGTACCTCTTCCCTGACCTTGCTGCCTTTCCCACAGTCGCTGACCTCATTACGCACCTTCGCACTAGTGACACTCGCTACCGCGCTGCGCTTCCTGCTGAGTTTTGTGCCAAGAACCCCCCCCCCCCCCCCCCCCCCCCATGTGCATCACCCTCTACTACATAGTCACCCGACTCCCTGACTCTCTTCGCGTAGTCAGGGACCACTTCCTCTCATTTTGCCCCACCACTCTCACCGTTGACCTCCTCGAGAAGGGCCTCCTAGCAGCAGAGAAGAGCATAGTCGCTGTAGGAGCCTCTCGTGGTGACCCTCGCACCCCCGTCTTTTAGGGGTGTTCCCCCTCCCCCCTCTTGCCCTCTGTTGCTTCTGCTGCTGCGGGCGACCTCGTTGGTTTCGAGTCGGTCGGCGCGGCGTCTGCCCCTGGCGGGAGACGCCGCACCGGCAAGGGCAAGGGGGGCAAGGGCGCTAGAGGGGCTGGCGGGGGCGGTGGAGGTGGTGGTGGAGGCAGTGGAGGGGGTGGGGGTGGTGGTGGGAGTGGTGGCGGGGGTGGCGGCAGCAGCGGCAGCAGTGGAGGCGGAGGAGGCGGCGGTGGTGGCGGAGGGAGCGGAAGCGGCGGAGGTGGTGGAGGAGGCGGAGGTGGAGGAGGCGGCGGAGGTGGCGGCGGCAGCAGTGGACCTGGTCGCAGCTATGCGCAGAGGAGTGGCTCCAGTGGTGGTACGCGCCAGCAGCAGCAGAGCAGTCGTGAGACCCTGTCCCCTCAGCAGCTTCGTGAGTGGTACGCTGCGTGTCAGCGCGGTGGGGGTACGGGTCCCTGCACCTACGTTCTCCGCACCGGCGACCGCGCTGGTGAGCAGTGCGGGGGCCCGCACTCCACCCAGCGCTGCTTTGGCCGCCTGACGGACGCGTGGCGTCACCAGTTCCCTGGGGCCTCTGAGATCCCTCGCTGGGGAGAGCTGTCTAGGGCGGGGGTTGCTATCTTTGATCTTGATTTTGATGCTATTCTTGCTGCCATGTATGCTGTTGATGATAGTGTTGCAGGTGACTGTTACCTGTGTGTACCGCCTGACCCGGGCATTGAGGCTGCTGCTCTAGGTGCTCGTGCGTCTGCTGCTCCAGATGCCAGTGCGTCTGCTGCCCCAGGTGCTGGTGAGTCTGCGCTCTCAGGTACTACGTCGGCTCAGGCCTTACACACCTTCACCCTTGACTCGGGTGCGTCTCGCTCCTTCTTTCGAGACCGCACCACTCTTACGCCGCTCAGTCGGCCAGTTGCAGTCTCCCTGGCGGACCCCTCTGGGGGTCCTGTCCTTGCTAGCTTCTCGACTGTCTTAGCGTGCCCGGCAGCCCCCTCTGGCACCCTGTCAGGTCTCTACCTCCCCTCGTTCTCTACGAACTTGGTGAGTGGAGCGGACCTACAGGATAGGGGGGTTGACCAGTTCACTCCTGCGTGTCAGCGGGTGACCCACTGCACGTGTGCTCGGACAGGCCGACACTTGGCCACGTTCACCAGTCGTCCAGGGTCGAGCCTGTACACCCTTACTACTGAGTCTCCACCGGCTCCTGAGTCTGCCCAGGTAGCTGCGTCGAGTCAGGTGTTTTCTGCAGCGTCCAGGGCTGGTCCTAAGTCTGCTCCCTGCTCGTGTCGTCTACTGTCCCACCAGACTCTCCTTTGGCACCACCGCCTTGGTCACCCCTCCCTGCCTCGTCTACGAGGCATGGCCTCCCGTGTCCTTGTCTCTGGTCTCCCTCGGTCTCTCCCTCCCCTACCTCCGGGGCCTGGCTCTACCTGCGTCCCCTACGTTGAAGGGCGACAGCGCGCCGCCCCTCACTCCTCCGAGTTTCCTCCGATAGAGGCTCCGCTGCAGACTCTCTGTGAGAGTACGACGGCTTATGCTAGCTATGCTTGCTTGCCTCTACTTTATCATGCTATTTCTAGCATAGGATAATCATATGCATGCATGAATTGCTTGATTTCCTAGGCTAGGTGCTTTCCTATATTTTATTATAGTTATAGCACCGAGCTAGGTTGCGTGCACTGAATTCTGGCTTTTCGGTTGCCACCGAATTGCCTTCTACCGAATTCGGCAAGGATCTGTTCGGGACGCTTCGCAACCCGCGGAACCTTCGCGTAACACCTGGTTACGGGGCCTTGTGTCGAGCCTATATATAGCCTCGTGTTGTACCTAGGTGATCATTCAATTCTATTTGAATCATCTTTTCTGAGCTCGATCCCAGATCCTCACACTTGGTAATCAGAGCGGGTTTACACGCGAGGTCTTCAACCGCTTAGTTCCGGCCTTTAAAAACCGCGGGGGCGACGACGAAAGCGCCGATACGGGTATGTAAAACCAGTTCCGCGCAATTTTTCTAAGTTCTCCTCGATTCGGTTTTCGAACACCCCTCAGATTTACTGGTGGAAAGGTTGGAGTTTCGACCGTTCGATCGAGTTTCATCTCAACGGCCCAGAGAATTTCGCCCAAAAAAGTTACAATTTGGAGCGTCGGATCGATTTTCTCCTCAACGGCCAAGATCGGACGCGAATTTCGCCTAAGGGAGATTTACGCAACCTACAGAATTCGCGCTCGTCGATTCTACAGTCAATTTGACTCGCAGTAAGTCGACCAGCACCTAGAATTCGATTATTTTCGTCGCGCATCTTCCTGTAAATCACCAAATGGAGGGCCAAGGCGACAACTACGCGACTACCAGCGACATCGCGAGCCTCCGCACCGACATGGAGCAGACGCAGGCGACGCTTCGTCGACTCGAGGCTTTTCTGACAAGCCAACCAGGGTTCGCCACCGCAGCAGCAGCGACCACAGCGACTACAGCACCGACAACTCCAGCAGCAGTGGCGACACCGACATTTCACGGACCAATGGCACCACTGTCGCCGAACCTCGAAGCAGCACGACCGAGGCTCCCGGAGGCGTTCGATCCAAGCGCGAAGGGATCCGACGTCCGGCGATTCGTGGCCACCCTCGAAATTTACTTCGAGGCCATTGGCTGTTCGACCCCGCAACACGACGCAACAAGGATTCGGCTCGCAGCGACACTGTTACGTGGACCGGCTCTCGAATGGATTTACTACACCGACGTAGCCCGCGGGGAGAAAACGTGGCAGCAGTTTCGGGCATATTTAATCGAGCGTTTCGAACCAATTAATACAACCTACATGGCGCGGCAGCAGATACACCGACACAAGCAATACAGTAGTGTAACACAGTACACGCAGCAGATGGAGTTACTGTTCAACCGCATCACCGACCTGACCGAAGGCGAAAAAATCCAGGCGTACACCGAAGGATTAAAAATGGAGGTTCGGCGGCAGGTGATTGCGGCGAATTACAACAGCTACAGACACATCGTGCGTGCTGCTGAGCGATACGACGCACTGACTCGAAGTCAACCCGAAACACGACGCTTCACGCCGAACCGTACATTCGGCACGGAGCGATCGGCACCCCCCACGTTGACCGAACCGATGGATATCGACAAATACGACGCGAAGCAGCAGCCGACAAAATGCGAATTTTGCGGCGCAGCAGGACATCAGTTTTTGTCGTGCTACAAAATGAAGAATGCACGTGCGGCACTCCGGGACGGAAACAGTGGAGCACCCCCGAAGTAAAAAAACGGGAATCGCCAGTAGTCGCGGATCGACCTGGCGATCGCGTAAAGATCCGAAAAGCAGGAAAAGGCGACGATGGGCGACTTCGGAGCAGGTGAAAAAAGGAGAAAATGATGGCGCGTATTTGAAACGTCACGACCGGCCGGCATCAGGGGAAATCGCCGAGGCGAATGGAGGCTCCGCGAAAAAAGACTCTGCACCGACCGGGAAACTCCAGCCGAACACCCACGAAAGTAAGAATTCGTTAAAAGTATCCTATAAAGATGCTCTAACGAAGAATATTGCTTCTCGTGGTTTACAAGCCTTCAAAAAATTTAGGGGAGGTCTAGAGGCCAAGAAAAAGCCTTTAGAAATTATTCAGGTACCTGAGAAGTTGGGCAAAGTACTACGGAGCGTAGAAAAGGGTCGTGCGTTCCGTGGAGTTAATATTCTCTCCCCGCAACACAGTGTTAAGGCTCCCCGTCGCCCACAGGTGAAGCCTACACAGCTGCCAAGGCTTAGAGGAGACATCCAGGCTCAAGAGAAATTATACAAGCCTCGGAAAAATCCTCCTACCCCCCAGGTGAAGTTGGAAAGCGCTAAGTCAGGTATAGGAAAAAGGGAAGGTATTAAGTTTGATGTACCCTATGATCCTATTAACAAGACCCTCTTTGGCTACTCAGCACAGCAGAAACCACTACTCCTCGAGGTGTTATGCAATGGGCGACGACTCCAGGCACTAGTGGACAGCGGTGCATCTCACTCGGTGTGTGACCGCGGAGCATTGGAGAAAATTGGAGAGAAGGCGGAAGAGACCCAGTTTTCAGCAACCATGGTGGACGGTACGAAGCTTCCTATCCACGGCGAAGCATCACTGCAACTGCATATAGGTGCGTTGAGGTGGAAGCCGAAGCTACCAGTCACCAACATCAAAGGATTAGATTTTATCTTGGGGCGAGATTTCCTGAAGCGGTTCAACTCCGAGATCGATTGGGTCAACAGCAAGGTGTGCATCTACAACAATGGGAAGCGGATAGCACTACGAAGCTGGACGGATACAGGGGACGTACCTGAAACGACACTGGCACGGTTCGAACGGACGGTGAACAAGAGTAACACGGGTTACCTAGCACTGGTTATGGCAGCAGCAGAGGAGGAGAAGCCGAGTTTCGAGCTACCTGCAGCAGTGAAAGAGGTCTTGGAGCAGTACAAGGATATAATGCCCGACGACCTACCTGCAGGCGTACCTCCAGCACGCACCCACGAGCACGAGATCGTGGAGGAACCAGGTGCGAAACCCGTCTCACGTGCACCATACCGACTGAGTCCGACTGAAGTGACAGACATGAAAAAAAAGATAGAGTATCTACTGGACAGACAACTGATCCGCCCATCCACCTCTCCCTACGGCGCACCAGTTCTCTTCAATCCAAAACCAGACGGCAGTCTACGGATGTGCATCGACTACCGCGCACTGAACAAACAGACAGTAAAAAACAAATATCCCATCCCGCGCATAGACGACCTACTCGATCAACTGCGTGGAGCAACAGTATTTTCGAAGCTGGACCTACGATCGGGCTACTGGCAGATCAAGATGGCAGACAACTCCGTCCACAAGACAACGTTCCGTACCAGATACGGCTCCTACGAATACTTGGTGATGCCGTTCGGACTCTGCAACGCACGAGCAACGTTTCAGGCGGAGATGAATCACATCTTACGACCCCTGCTGGACGAATGCGTGGTGGTGTACCTGGACGACATTCTCATCTACTCGAAGAACATGAAGGAGCACGTGGAGCATCTGCGGAAGGTGTTCGAGATCCTGCGGAAAAACAAGTTCTACGTGAAGCTGTCAAAGAGCGACTTCGCCCTGAAGAAGGTGCAGTTTCTCGGGCACATGGTGAGTGCCGAGGGCGTACACGTGGACCCACGGAAGATCGAAGCCGTCAAGAAGTGGAAAGTACCAGAGAACGTGAAGGAGTTACAGCAGTTCCTAGGCTTTGCCAACTACTACAACAGGTTCGTGCCGCAGTACGCTAAGATAGCAGCGCCACGAACCGACCTACTGAAAAAGGATACGCCCTACAAATGGGATACCCTTCATCAGCAAGCCATGGAGCAGCTACAGACAGCACTGACTACAGCGCCAGTACTCATCTTGCCGGATCCAGACAAGGACTACGTGGTGGAAGCAGACGCTAGTGACCAAGCAGTCGGAGCAGTACTGATGCAGGATCACGGACGCGGTTTGCAGCCCATCGCCTACCTCAGTAAGAAGCTACACGGAGCAGAACTAAACTACCCCATTCACGACAAGGAAGCCTTAGCGATAGTCATAGCCTTCAAGGCGTGGAGGTGTTACCTAGAGGGAGCCAAGACTACAGTCTATACTGACCACTGCAGTCTCAAATACCTGAAGTCACAACCGACACTCTCACGACGACAGGTGCGGTGGGTGGATTTCCTGGAAACTCACTTCCACTACGACATCGTCTACAAGCCCGGGCTACACAACAAGGCAGACGCGTTGAGCCGCCCCGGACATGTAGCAGGCATCCAGCTCGACGGGATGAACCCTCTGCTCAAGGGTCTATTCCAACATGGGTACTCTGTGGATGCACAAATCGCTACAGCACAGACCAAGAAGCTATTACAGTGGGAGAAAGACTTAGCTGTAAGGAAGGGTTCAGGAAAGATTTGGGTACCGAATTACGCCCCGCTGCGGCAGATCCTATTGGAGGAGTTTCACGACGTACCTTACGCGGGACATTTCGGGAGCAACAAGACGTTAGCAGGGATAGCGAAGTATTACTACTGGCCCGGGATGGCAGCAGACGTGCAGCAGCTCGTCACCTCTTGCGACACGTGCCAGCGGATGAAGAGCAGCAAGCAGAAAAAAGCAGGGTTACTTCAGCCTCTACCCGTACCGGAGCAGCCATGGCAGGTCGTTAGCCTCGACTTCATCACAGGGCTTCCTTCGACCTCACGGCGACATGATTCCATCCTCGTGGTGATCGATAAGTTCTCCAAAATGGGTCACTTCATACCGACCAATGCCACAGCTACAGCTGAAGCAACTGCTCGACTCTTCTTCGACCGCATCATCACCATCCACGGCATCCCCGCTACACTCATCTCAGACAGAGACCCCAAATTCACGAGTAAATTCTGGAAGGAGCTCATGGGACTGTTGGGGACAAAGCTTGCAATGTCTTCAGCATACCACCCCCAGACTGACGGACAGACAGAGCGACTCAATCAAGTGGTTGAACAGTTACTGTGCACAGCTTGCAAGGACGACGTCAGCCACTGGGACACACAGATACCAAC